CAATCAGATTTTCCAGCTGCTGAACAGTGGTCTTCCGTTGTCTGTTGGCTCTGCGAAATGGCGGTGCCCGGGCGGCGCCGGTTGCTGTGGCATGGCCGGTGCTGGTTCTCGCAGGCCGAGTCCGCTGCTGTCCCGCAGCCCCCCGATTCGCTCTACCCCCCCATAGTGGCTTCCGCCACGTCGAACAGCAAGGCTTCTAAGCGGCGGCGCCTGGAGCACTTCAAGCAACGGGTGCACGCGGCGGCCTCGGTCGAGGAGAAGCTGCGGGTATACGGGCTGCTGCAGCGGCCCAAGTACATGGTCTACCCGCAGACCTTCGCCCTCAACGCCGATCGCTGGTACCAGAGCTTCACCAAGACTGTCTTCGTGCCGGGGCTGCCCCCTAGAGCGCCGCCAGCAGCCGTGAAAGCCCCGGGAGCGGTGGCCCTGGAGGCCGCGAAAGCCCCGGAGGTAGCGGCGGGAGCGGCAGCCGGGGCCGCCGGAGCCCCGGCGCCGGGAACGGAGGCCCCAGAGGCTGCGAAAACCCTGAACCCTGCGGCGGGAGCGACGCCGAGCCTGGATATTGTCGAGCTGCGCTCCCTCGCCTGCGACGCCCTCCTTCAGGAGAGCTTCTACCAAAATAAGAAGCGGCCGTTCCTGTACCGCGATCAGGATCATACGCCTGGCCCTTTCCTAACGCAGCTCGTGTCCACCCTCGCCGCCTTCCTGTCCTGTCGCAATCCGCTGCTGGCTGCCTCTTCCCTCGGTGCGGATGGGTGTGGGAGGGAGGGGGAAGTGGGAGCCCTGGGACGGTGGGGCCGGTCTGTGGACCCGGCAGGAGTGTTGCTGATATAGTTGTTCAGACCATTACTAATAATTTACCTCATCTCTGTTGCCCCACATGGTGCGGGTGGATTTTAATTTTTCTATTTTGCTGCCGCTACAGAACAAGAATTGGGAGAGTAGTAAATGCAGAGGGGCGATTACCTGTTTTTCTCTATCCCTCTGTTATGTTTCAGATTTAAAACCTGAAGTTAACTATTACTGGCATCATGGTGAGGAAGTTGTTGATCGTGGACACCGAAAGGGTAGAATTGATCCTGTGAGATTTCAGATAGATGATAAACCACATCTCCAGATACGCGTACCAAAGCAACTTCCAGAGGTGTGTATATTTTCAACAGCAATTTTATCCCATGTGTTTTCACTTGTGTTTCTGACAGCTGCTGAAACCATACAATAGGTGATACGTGGACCTTGTTAATCAGGCATGTAGCATGTTAATGCGTTTCTCAAGTCTTAATGGCCTTACTCCCTTCTTGTAACTGCTTTGTAGGTACTGAGACAGTCTTTTGAACTTCAAGTAGGTCATCTTTGTGCTTTAGTAAAAGTGCATGTTGCTCCACTTCGTTAAATGGAGGTTTTTAGTTTAAGCTTGTAAGACAAAAATGAGGCAAAAATAAGAAATGGGTGGAATGTTCTGAGTGGAGGATAATAAGATGAGAGAAATGGAGGAGAGACTAATGGTGTAAGAGCATGTATAATCTGAATGTGAGCTCTCTTACTCTGTTACTGCTTAACACGTGCTTTCTCAAATGCTCAGTTTTATGGAAGCTGATTAAATATTACAGTCTTTTTTTGTATGTTTATACAGTGGTAATAGTATGGCCTGTGAGGGTCTCTTTTGTCCGGTTGCCACCACAGACAGAAAACTATGCTTCACTTTCTGTAAATGCTGAACATTTCTTGCTAACTTAATTGTACAATTTGGTGAGGTTAGTTATTCAGAAGTTAACAAACTTTGGCATTTTGGAAGAAGTGTGTAGGCAGTTAAAAATGTTACTTAGTGCAAAACAGTGAATATGTGTAAACTGACACTGCTGGTTCAAGTTTATTGATACCTGCTAGAAATGGTTCTTGCTCATTTTCTACAGAAGTGAATTCTGGTTTTGAAGATGGTACCAGCTGGCAGCTTTTTTAGCATCATTTCACACGATGTTTTTTGTACATTGCAGAAAATTCAGACATCAATGTAAGATGCATGTACTAGCATGTATCGCAAGACAAGAAGTTCTGTTGCGAAAAATGAGCTTTGGTTAAAGTTATGTAAATCCTGTATGTAAGCAAGACTCACACCTTCTGCTGTCTGACCAGAAAGTGACATATGTGTGGCCTGGTGTCAGAAGCATGACTTAGCTCATGATTTTTCTTTCTTCTATTTCTTACAAGGTTGTACCGCTAGAGGCAAATCTTGGAGATGTTCCTGTTATTGATCACAAACCATCCAAACTGCCGTTGTTCAAAAGGCAGTATGAAAACAAGGTGTTCATAGGTAAGACTTTCTAGTCATAAAATACTAACTAGTTTTAATGTGTGTACAAAATTGATAAAAAAAATGAACCCCAAAACACCCCCTTGACCTTTCTACTCCCATCAACAGAAAACAGTAGTATATTATTTATATACTATATAAATCTGTATAGTATATAAATCTCTATTGAGATTCTGTGTCATTAAGCAATGGGGAGTAGCATCCACTGTGTGTATGGTACTCTGTGACCAGATTTGCTTGAAGGAGTGGGTTGAATAGAAAATTGGCAGAAAACTAGCTTCAAATTTTGATTCATATTCTCAGAGTCATTTTAGTATGTGAACTCCTGCCATTTAGAGTGGAACAAGCCCTCCATTCTCACCTAGAAGTACAGGAATCTCAACGTTTATTCAGATCGACTGTAGAGGTTCTAACATTCCGTTGTTTTGAGTTTGATAGTGAAGATGTGTTCGTATGCATAATGAAGATGGTTACTGACTCACAGGTGTTTTTTTTTTCATTTTGGGGAACACAGGATCAAAGGTAGCAGATCCATGCTGTTATGGACATACCCAGTTTCATGTTATTCCTGATAAACTAAAGCGGGAGGGGTTTATAAAAGCGCGTCTTGAGGATCAGATTGAAGTTGTTTATCGAGCTAATGGTATTGCAAGTCTCTTTGCCTGGACAGCAGCACAGGCAATGTATCAAGGTGAGACAGCAAACTTAATTGGTAATGAGTGTCTCCTCTAAAGTTCTGTAACCTTTTCTCCTCACCTTTTTCTCATGCCTTTTCTTCTGAAGACCATCCTTTAAGTGGCTGTTTTAAATTTTGTTGAACCAATGAATGAAGCAGAGCTTATACAGGGAAGTTAGTTAAGATTTTGTCATTGAGTACTTTGACTCAAGGGAAATTAATTATGAAGAAAAATATTTTTTTATATATATAACACTAAGAGCCTGTGCAAAAATCTCAGTCTTGCATTCACTTAACTGACATTTGTTCTGGAGAAGGGTGGTAGATATCAAGCTGTTTCTTTGTTGTGTAACAGTTTCTAGCAGTATTCACTGCATATGATACCAGATACTTTTGAAGAATATTACTGTGTGTGCTAGCACACATGCATAAATAAGTAAGGAAAATATTTTAAGAAGACTACTAATGCTTAGTGAGAGTTATTTGAAGTCTTAATACTTACTGGCATAGGGTTCATAGTGTTGACTGTCTAATCACTGTGGCCAGTTATGCTCAAGCATACATATGTATGTTTCTGTTGTGAAACAGATGTCGTTCAGGTGCTCCACACTTCTCAATAGGGCAGTGTCATTCCCCCTTAGGTCACTTGAAGGACTTGAAGGATGTATTAATAATTTCTATCATTTCTAAGAACTTGGCTGCTCAGTGTGGGGTTTTTATCAGTCACCGATAGGGAATTGTGTACAAAAAGCAAATATGATGCTGTGTCCTGGGTCTTGGAAATACCTTTGAATGGTATTTGTGTTTTATCCAGTCTGTATGAAGAATGCTTGTATTGTTAAAGCAGACAGGACATCTTTCCTTGCTAAGTTGCTGTTGCAGTTACCAAGTATTTTTCTGTATTTCAGGATTGGGATTTAATTGTGTGTCCTGATACAAATTTCCTGTATAATTAGTGTTGTTTGTTTATTTTGTAGGGTTCTGGAATGAAGCAGATGTGACCCGTCCTTTTGTATCTCAGGCTGTAGTGACTGATGGAAAATACTTTGCTTTCTTTTGTTACCAGCTAAATACTTTAGCACTAACTGTAGAAACTATTGAAAATAACCCTCGGAAGAATATTTGTTGGGGTACAGACAGTAAGCCATTGTATGATGTTGTGGAAGATGGGAGTGTGAAAGGCTTTAATGATGAAGTTCTGCTTCATTTGGTCCGTTTTCTGTTGAACAGACCAAAAGAGTTGTAAATCATTAAACAATATGGTATTCCTGTTTGCGTGCCTGAACTTCAGTGTAACTCCACGAATTATGGGATAGGATATGCTTTAGTTTTAGTTTAAGCAAACACTATATACTTGAGCTTTATTTTTAATGTGTAATACTGTACACTGAAAAATAAATGTCTAGAATACCTCAATGTCTCTTGTATATTTGATGTTAGAGTTCTAGGTCATGTGACTACTTTCTTCTAGCAGATCCATAGCTCTACTGTTGAACTATCACAGTAAAGTATGAATTCATATGACCATCTGGTTGTTGCTGGGTGACTTGTCTGGATACTCGCACCAGTGAAAAATTTCTGATTTTATGCCTGAAAAGAAATTAGTTGTCTTAAATGCTTACTTACTTTAAAGAGGAAGTGAGATCAGAATAAAAGCTGTTCCTTAAAAGTGAATATTTGGCAATTTAGTTACATAAAGTGGATAAAAGTTTTTAAAAGTGAATAGTTGGCAGTTTAGTTACATAGCAAGGGAAATTTTTAGACATTTATCAAGCAATAGTGTAAACATGATGAAACTTGCTTCCAAAGTTTCTACTGTGAACCTGCATACACATTTTTTAACTGTCACCTCAGGAACCACAGAGAGAACTCTCAAATGTATTTGGGGTTTACAGTTTTCCTGTTGACTTGGAACCTTGAACCTTTCATATACTGTCACTGACCTGGAATTTTCCAGGGTTCTTGTTAAAAGCCAAGTTGTTTTTAAAGAGAGAATTCTTGAGTCATGCTGAACTCTTGTTGAAATACTTGGCTGCACATTCTTCAGCCTAAGTCATTTGGGATCCTCCTTCCTGTTTTAAACTGGCTCAGAGTATTTTGCTAGTGAAGAATGAAGTAGTTGTGCAGTCTTACTTGACTGCTACTTTGTTATGTCGGAATGAACTGTAGTTGCCGCTTTCTCCATCAGTGGAAGGTAAACTAGATAAGCAGGGTATGCATGAGTACTGGTTTCTTTTTAAGGGAAGTAAGTCCTTAAGCAGTCTCTTTGTCATAACAATGCTTGAGTATTACTAGTTCTGATTGCTGCTGATCCTTGTATTAAATGAATGTTCCATGTAGAAACAGAAGATAAACTGCTGGGTAGGCTTGTTGATTATAAGGAATGATCTGTGATTACACAGAATGGCCTTTGCCGGGGAGAGGTTAGACCAGATGATCCTTGATGCCCCCTCCAATGTGGTATTCTATGGTTCTGTGACCTAGTTTAAAGCTGAGGGATTGATACTTGTTTTCTAGTCTGATAAAGGGGTGATGCGAAATGAAAACAGTTGGAAACAACAGTTGGGTCTTCTGACCCCACCGACAATCTTCACATCAGGTGCAATATGGTATTGCTTTCATCTTAAAACTCTGAGTTGCCTACAAGTAGCGGCTGTGGGAAGCTGATGCGTAAAGTCAAAGAATCTCCTGTTCCCAGGATTAAAAACCACTAATTTTTCTGTGATTCAGCCTTCTGTCTATCCGGAGGGATTAGATGTACTGGAGCAAGTTCAAAGAAGAACTTTTTTCCTTTGTGCAGCTTTATTAGTGACTGAAATACTGCTGTAGATGTGTAACCTGGTAGCAGTATCGTGTTGGAGTGAGGGGGGGAAGTCTTTGTGTGAGTTGGCTTAGTTGCATAGTATCAAATCCAGCCTTTCTACAGCTGTCTTAAAAAGGGCATACCCTGGAAAAGCAGTTGGTGGCACTGTTTTACTTTCTACTGAGGAAAAAGTATAATGGGTATTGTTCTGCTGGTTTGTCACTGACTGGCAAAGGTGAGATACCATAATGTACGCAGTTTACTAACAGCAGTCTTTCATGTTGTACTCGTCTGTTCAGGGTGTTTAATGCTGCCATACAACAATAGTCAAAAGTGTTGGGTTTTTGTTTTGTTTTTTTTTTTTTTTTCTCCAGATTGTATAGCTACTAAATGCTTAAAAGTAGAAATCTTAGAAGCTGCAGCATTCCTATTCTTGAGCTTTGCTCAGCAGAAATGTCCCAAGATTCTACTCCTTTAAGTCTCATGGGAGCATTGTTCTTTAGCATTCTATTTTGTTGAGTTTGCTGTTTATAAGAAACAAAGGCAATTCAAAGAACACAGGGTGGAAATCTTCAAGTTTGGATCTTTTTTTCTCTTTAATTTCTGCTTAGGCCTATTGAAGCATATCAGAAGGGAACTTAAGGCCTAAAAATAAGATTTGATTTTACAAAACAAGTGTTTTCCTTAGTACTGAACTATTTTGTGTAAAACTGGTATCACCTTTAAATGGATGACCATTCTATGACATTCTACGTGTATTGTCATTTCAGGTTATGAAACTGCAACTGGTAACTTTGAATGGAACTGCCTAAGCAGCCTTTCTCAAAATTAAACCTGAAAAAAGGAGATAAGACTCTGAAACTTTCTCCTTTCTATGTAGGGTCATGTTGTACCAAATTAATGGGATAGATGGTTGTGTTTCCTTTCAGACAGGAGAAATAGCTTCAGCATTTATAGTGTCTGCTTGGTTGTGCAGAAGTCTCCTGATCTCTCTTCTGTACTCAGGTTTGTCATTGGAGAAGACACCAGCTCCTTTATGCTAGAAGCAGATGAAAATGTCCTTGTTCTGGGGCAATATGATTTTTTTTCCTGAGGCAAAAGTATGTCTTGGAGTCAGCTGGTTGTGAGTCTATTGACAACTTACTCTGCGGGCTCTGTAGAGACCACACAAGCTGGGGGTGCAACTGATGGAACCAATGAAAGTGGCTTTCCAGTTCATCCTGTGCTAAAATGAGCCATCCACAGCCAGTAGTGTAACCAGAGCGCGTAAGAGTATGAGGCCTGTGAAGTCTGCACTAAGCAGAGTCTGCTCTGGTATAGAATAATGTCCTGTGGATCAAAACTGAGTCTAATAAACATAGCACCAAGAAAGCTTGTGGAAGAGGTTGCACAAGAACTGATTTGTCATGGAGGAAGTAACTTACCAAGTAGGTAGAAACGTCAAAGCAAATGGAACATGAACAGACTGACAATGAAGACCATGATGTAAGTTAGCAGTGACAAAACTTGAGCTATTGTCAAAACCAGACTGGCTGCTAACAGTATGTGACTGCATACATCTTGTTCTAGTAGTTTACCAGAACCCCACTGAGATTAGACCTTCAAGAAACAGAAGTTGAGGATCCTAAAAAAAACATGATTGAGGGATGTACATGACAGCTAATAGAAGTCCTTAGTGTCTGGGACCAGGGAACTGAAGATGCCCTATGAAGGGCATATTTACCTTTTTGAAAAAAACTCTGAAGAAGGAAAAGATGTAGGAGGATGCTTGTCATGCTTTTTTATGTCTCTGCAGGACTAAGTGCTATCTAGCTTATGATATTGGAAAGATAAATAATTCTTTTAGACAGGACAGTCATCTGTATGGTGTAGGGTTCAGCTGTACTGACCTGTAACTACCTGCACTAAAATTAATCTATCTTCCTTTTTTTTTTTTTTTTCCCATTGTGCCTGGTTTCTGTATGATTTGAGGCTTCTGTCTGTAGCTGAAATATTCTTTGAGTGAAAATTTGGTATTTCTTCTATATCTTTTAATAACTGAAGTTCAATTTCTTTAACTACATCTCCTGCTACAGAATCTTCTCTGTTACCTTCCTTATTCCTTCTAAGTCATGCTTTATTTCATTTGTTTCTTTCCTTGTATGAAAGAGTTGATCTTAATGTGTATCCTGTAAAGGAAATATTCCTCATTTTGCTTTGGATATTCCTTTAACATGTAATCAATTCAGTACAAATTATCACTGATCTCAAGGGACATGATACAGGATTGTTTTCACTGTTGGGAGGTGTAGCTTCTAGCACAAGATTGCTTGTACTGCAAGTGTGCATGCTTTTATCAGATATTCCAGAGCAGGTTTGAATTTCAGCCTTGAATTTCAGCCTGTAAAGGCTTTTTGTTTGGTGTTTTTAAAACAAATTAGTTTCTGCAACAGCACATTTCTCTAGGTAGTTGAAGGTGATTGGGAGGTGCAATTTTAAAACTCAAATTCCGGGATTGTTTAGCCTGGAGAAGAGAAAGCTCAGGAGGCATCTTATCATTGTGTATCAATATCTAATGGGAGAGAATGAAAAATATTTGGCTAGGCTTATTTCAGTGGTATCCAGCTATGATGGTATGCTCCCCTTCCAACCCTGACCTTCATTTCCTGTAACCCTGCTCAAGTGATTACCACCAGTGGTGATTGTGATGGCTGTGTCAGACTCAAAGTGAATTCAGGGGAGACAAACAGCAGCATAATAGCCAAGGGTTAATTTGAGAAACTTGCCCATGTGTGCCCACCGGCCATAGTGCTGGTCAAGGTCTGACTCAAGCAAAGTTTGGAAAAAAACTATCATCTGTAGTTGCTTTGCAAATATGACTATGGGTCAGTTATCTTACTTCATATGTAGTGGACAGTCCAGGGCCTCTTGAGCTCTCCTGTACACCAGTGGACTGAATGCCAAGATATCTTCTTTAGTAGGAACGCCTCCCAGGTTTACTTCTCAAGTTTGTGATTCCATTTTGCAACAAGTAACTTGCAACTTACTTGTTAGTAAGTGATTAATAACATGCTAAACTTTGAAATCTTAGCTAAGTGATAGAAGAGGACAATCATACAATCCTTTAGACACAAATTGTTGACCAAGTCTGAGACTGCCTGGATCTAGCCACACCTAAACTCCCCTCTGAGAAGGAGTTTAGAATGCAATACCAGTGAAAGGGCAAAAGAAAAGAGCCATAAACTGAAATGCAGCAAATTCTACTTAAACATTTTATTTTACTATAGTGGCAGTTGGTTGCTGGAACAAGTTGCTCAGAGAAAGATGTCACCTTTCCGTCCTTGGAGATACTCAAAATCAGACTGGTCAGCTCTGAGCAACTCTGTAGGTAATTCTTCCCTAAGTAGGGTGGGTGGACTAGACAGGAGTTGTCTTCCAATCATTACGACTCTACAGTTATGTGCATATAGATTAGTGGTCAGTGCAAAGATGAGACACTGTAAATGTGTAGGAAGAAACCACTTGCAGAGATTTGGATCCGTAGTGCACACTGGGCCTGGATCTTCTCTCTTTTGAACTTACTATGGTCATCTGTATTTGTACATTAATTCGACATCAACAAATTTTACTTGAT